TCAGGAGTTTGATGACTGTCTCATGCAGACATAAATGTGCATCCCCCAGGCCTTTTATTAATGGGTTTGACTTTAAACTCTTCATTTTGATTTGGTGGGTCAGTCTTTTAATGGATTATAGCTAGATTTGCAAATTAAGACAAAATTATCTTGCATTGAAAGAAATGTTGGCCTTCCTAGTGCTGATAGGAATAATTAGCTACAGAAGCACTGAGCTGTCATGTCACGGTGGATGGGTGTCCTGAGCATGCTGGCCTGCAGGTAGCTTTCTTTTTCCACTGGTTTGGCAGTTATTGATCCCAGCCATTTGTACCAGGGCTCATATGGTCACTGCATTTGTTCATATATGCCCTCCTTCGGGCAGCATGACCAGCACACCCAGGGAAAGCTCATTGTGGGAGAATAACCTGGAGTACAAAGACCTCCTGCCCTGACATGTGGCATCCTCCAGCTGCTGGTGGGATCACAAACCTGTCTGATAGGAGCTAGGGAAAAATGCACAACCTACATCTCTGCCTCTATAGACCTGCTTATGAGCCTCAGGTGTGTATGTAACAGCCTCTGCTCTTCTTAAGGGGCCAAAACTGTTCTGAAATGACTTCTGGGGCAGAAGGAACAGTGGTGAAAGTGTGTCTCTGGCCTGTGAGCAGGACAACCATTGCCCCTTCCTGCTGCCAGCCCAGCTGGGTGGTGTAACCCTCTCCTTGGCTCCCTGCTTGCATCTCAGCTAAAAGCCCGTCTCAGCATGTGGGGGAGGAAAGATTTATTTTTTCTCTTACATGAGTGAACTGGTTCTGAGATGCTGAATTCTTCCTCCTGCCTCAAATTTCCTGTGTGACATGGAGTACAGTAGTTAACAACTTGAGAGTTCAGTTTTCCAGCTGTAATGTTTTCCTTTCTTCTGACAAATGTTACAGAAATAGATTCTGTAGTACAAACAAAGCATCACACCACTGCAATGAATGGGAGTGAGGGGGGCAGATTTTGTAAGTTCTGAGAGATAATAAATTTTTTTTTATAACTATACCTCTTGAAAAGTATTTTTTCATTAATTAAATTCTTGAGTCTTGTAATTTTTGGTCATTGATGCAATTTTTTTGGGTTAGCAATTTGTTCAGCTGTGAATCATTTTGCCTGTTCTGACCTTCCTTTGGAGACATCTATTTCTGACCTCATGAACAATGCCTTGGGTGAGACATGAGAACCTGATAGATTGTGATGATGTCTTCACAGTTGCCCACTGCTCCTGATATGACATGTGGATGCGTGTGTTCATGTCACAGTGTTTATCAAAACCTTTGTCTATGACTCAAATTAAGAGACAGATACTTGGTTTTGACTTTTATTTCAAAATAGCTCTGCAGAGTGAAGATGAAACATGGATATTGGGACTGAGAGAAAAATGGTTAAAGTAGAGCTGTGTTGGTATGATGCCTTTGTTGTTTTGAAGACTATTTTTTCATTAACTACAGCACGAGCCTGCACATGGGAAGCTGGTTTCCTTTTCGTGTCATCATCTTCATGCAGAGTTGAGAAATTAAACTTATCAGGGGCATTAACCTCCAGTAAACTGCATTGACCCAGCTACTGTGAGTGTTTGAAGAAAGGCAGCTTTATGCTCTCATTTCATAACATCCTATGGAAGTTAGAAATAAAAAGTTGCTTCTAAAAAATCTGATTTGGTTAGGGAAACAATATGAGCACTTTGTTTTGTGAAGATGACAGAAACACAGGAGACTTTGGCCTGGTTGTGCTGTGCTCTGTCAGTGACGGCTATAATCATTCACTTGATTGGCTCAGCAGGACTATTTATCTCCAGGTATTTCCCCACTGGTCAATAGAAGCATCTTAATAAGTGATTTTTTGAAATCAGATAAAAATGTTTTCTTCCACTGCTCACTTTTTGTTTGCAGCTGGTATCTCAGAATGGTCGTATGACTGCAATCACCATGTAAACAACTCATCTTTATACAGCTGGCTTGTATCTCCACTGGAGATACTGCAGCAGACACATGACAGTCTTTAACACTATTACTTCACTGGATTTTTATTTAAAGAAAGGCAAGTGTCACATAGGGTTTGCCTTCATGTAGCCTATTACAGAGAGTCTGTATGTAGTGTCTGTAAAACCACCTAGCTCTAGAGAGGTGTGTCTGTGAATGTAAATGACATGGGCAATGCCTCTGTTTAAGTGAATGACTTATAATACAGGCAAGACAACACTTTCCAAGGGGTTATGATTACTTCACAGATCAACAGTAGTCTAAAACTAGGTCCCTGATCATGCAAGCGTCCTTGTGGTTAAGGGAATCCCTACTAGATGCGCTGTAAGGTGCATGAGGGCTTGTAGGGTCAGAGCCTCAGTTTGCCATAGCTCTGCCTCATATAAAGTAATTAGAGCTTGTCTCTTGGTTGATTTTTTATGAAATAATAAAAGTAGCCTGATTATAAAAGCTTCTAGCATCCTGTGGCTAGGTTTTTAGTGCCCACATACTTACAAGCCTATTGGCATTATTACACAGGCACCTTTAAATTGTGACCTCAAGTCACTTTCAATAATCTAACTTCCTTTAGAGTTTTAAGTTATTTGTATTCAGATTTTTCTCATGTAGCAATGAATTGAGGACTCCTTCCAATGTACTTTTGAAACTATAAAATGAAATCCCCTGAATGCCTGCTAAGCTTAATAGAAAACTGTAAGAGGTCAAAAATATTATTTAAGTAAATAAAATACACTGAATGTAAAAAGCAAGCAGACAGATTTTGGATGCTGAAAGTTAAATTGCCATGGCTGATGTTATTGAAGTGATTCTGCACAGCTTGCTAATGACTAGGTCATTAAGGTTAACGTGTTAATGAAACTTAAAAATTGAGAAAGCCATCATGAATGAAATATGGGCTCCCTTCTCTCACGCAAAAACTTTTGGTTTAGGTAGTGTATGTCCAGCTCCAGAGCAAACTAACCTCTGTACAAATAAAGATGGCAGAATGTGATTCTATAAAGGCTGTGTTCCAAGAAAATGCCTACATTACACTAAAACAGATGAAGGTGGGATGCAGTATTTCTACAAATCATGTCCCATACATGTTATTGCTGATGAACTCCAAAATCATTCTCCAAAATGCTGCTTGTAAATGTTTTCTGAACTCTAAGTCTGACATTGATAAACGTGGTAAACCTTGGATGCTCTTCAATGAGCTGACTCAGCAACCTGGCAAGCTCATCCCATCTCCATGGGCTAGATCCCCTTCAGTAACAGTGCAGCAAAAACATTTATAAGTGGACACTTTGACCTAGGCTGAAAACCCTATAGCACTCAGCAATTAAACAGGAAGAAACACAAGTTTAGAAAACAATTTTATTAGACAAATTATTTAGACAAATTATACACAGAAAGCTCTGCCACTTGTAACTGAGGCCTCCAAAAAGTGTTTTGTGTATCTGTATAATAGGCAACACATCAAAATAGGCCTATTTTAAATATCGTACATGGTTAACAGGTTTTTTAATAGCTAAAATCACTGCAACATCTGGTATGTCCCTATGTAGCTTGTTGGAAAGAAATTTTCTCTTTTTTTTCTTTTTTTTTTCTTTTTTTTTTTTTTTTTACTCAGAAGTGTGGATGAGTTCATGAATGTTACAAGGGGGAAGCAAGTTGTGCATGCTTTTAGACACTTGCTACCCTGGAAACAAAATGGCCTTTTGCACGATAAGAATTCGTTCTGCCTTACACAGTAGACAATATTTGAAGATTTAGTACAAAAAACAGTGACAGTACAAGATGCTCCCCCAGAACAGAATTAGCATCAAAATAGAATAGATCTGAAGAATATACCTTTTAATTTATCCTAAAGCAAATCACATAGGCTGATTCCTATTAATCCTAGCCAAAGAATGAGTTAGATTAAAATAAGTGTATGGTTGCATTTAAAAGAAAACCAAACCAAAAAACTCACAGGATAAACTGCTTGCTTTCTACTTAACCGCATTTTTAGTTTTAAGGATTACAAATTGAAAGCTCTTCCTACATTTCTAACAGGTAACAGTGTTACTTAAAAAAGCTGGTGCCAAGGTGGGCACTGGTTTTGCTCTCACTGCTGTTCTTTTTCTTACTCTATACAGTTGGCACTAATGTAAAAATACATAGCTCCTCTAAACCTAACTTAACATAGAAAGGGTTAAAATGAGCGCCTGTTCATATTTTTTTTTCCTTAGAACAATACATGATTATAATTAAGGCCACATCTGTATATCTCAAGGGCTTATTTTTTTTTCTCTACTAACACCATTATTGTATTGATCAACTGTACTGACTTGGAAAAGGATTTATTAACCTTTGATCTATGTTTAACTTCTCTAGAGCTATATTAGTTGTTCATGAACATGGTATACCTAAGAGAGAGTTCCATTTGTCTAATTAATTAAAAGGAAAATTATTAAGATTAACCTTATAGAATGCTCAATAGCCAATGCAAAACCTAACCAAAGGAGTTACATCTAGGTACAAATGTTAAATTGCCCTGGATGTTCTAATAAAAAAGTATAAAATATGCTCTGTTGGCAAACAATGCAAGTCAGAATAACATTAAAGCAACCCGTCTTTTCTAAATGAAAAGACACCCTGCACTGTACATCTCTCCTGTATACAACACATTTTTACTAAAGCTTTATTAAATGAATTGCAATAGCAACGGCTGCCATTTTATAGCTATATATACATGTATATATATATACACATACCTTTGTGTATATATGTATATATATATATGTATGAGATACTAATTTATTTAACACAACAGAGGCTTCTGCCATATGATACAGTTTACTGTACATAAGAAAAACTTTTAACACTGTACAATCACATAAAGGTCATATGCACTGTTGCAGTGCAAAAGTAGATTTAACTGTAGTCTTTACTGGCATAGTAATGGCTTTTTGTAATCCTACAAAATTGCATTCTTATATTATGGGGCCTGAATGATCTTTTAACTTCATTTGTTTTCCATTCTTTTTTTTTTCTTCTTTTGTCTTTTTGCCTTTTTTTTTTAAATTTTTTCCATTTTTTGAACTGCAGGGTTTGCCTTTGGTCCACAGTTAAAAGGACACACAGCAGTGGAGCGCTGACCGGATGCAGCAGAGTACATGAAAAATACTTAAGTTATTGCAATTATAGTAAAAAAAGGTGGTGGGGGAGGAGGAGCAAATGCCCTTCTGTAAAGTAATCCTCAGGGTTTTTCTATGCATGAATCGCTGCACATTTCCTATATTTAAAGTATATGAAAAGCCTGAAGTAACCAAAACCTAACGCAGTGATAAACCAAAGAATAAGTGATTCAAGTAGTAAAGAGAATAAGGGGAGACAGAAGAGACCAGACTGAGGAAGCAGAGAAGAGGAGGAAGAAGAGTTGCTACTAATAATTCTGATTCTTAAATAAAATAAAGGAAAAAAACCCCAAACAACCCAAACAGAAAATAACCCTCAAACAAATAAAAAAAACCCCAAACCACAACCCTCAAAACCAAAAAATAAGGAAAAGAAGAAAGGTTACATCCATGTTAGTCCCACAATATTACAGCTGCTCCTTGCAAAGGGAGTCCTAAATAAGAAACAGTGAAGAAACTTGTTCTGGTGCTCAGATGGAGGTGCCTCGGTCTGGGTCACTACCAATATTCAGACCCAAAGTAGGAGTTGGTTGGTAAGGGATAGATGACATTGTTTTGATGGGGCTTCTGAAAAAGCCACCGTTGGGTGCCCTGTGCCTGAAAGGGCCAGTTCGGTGCTCGGGCACACTGCCGAAGGAGAAACCCGAAGCGGCTTTAGCAGACAGAGTGCGGCTCAGAGTCTGGATCTGCTCTGGTATGAAGGTGGTTGTGGTGATGTGAGTGTTTCTGAAGTCACTGATTTGCTCCAGTGCCTGACGTGTGGGTAAAGTGTCAATGTCCAGCGGGGTCAAGTCAATCGATGAGGTGGAGAACTGTTTATGGGGACTGTCGTCGTCTGTGCAGAGGCTGTTCACACGCCTGTGGAGGTGCTCCAGGTCGATCTCCTTGTCGTCCTGGGGAATGAGAAAAACAACAGGCACCACTCACCACCGCCGTTTGTGCTGGATTGAAGTTTCACAGGGTGATCAGAACGGCTCGGGAAGCACAATGCACAATTAACTAGAGCTGGCTGTTGGCTCACAGTGTCTCTGAATGTCACCAGCAAACACCCCATCACCTGAAGCCAGGGGGGTGAAGCCAAACCAAGGCAGACCCTTACACCACAGCTACCTTCAAACCCTGTATTCAAACAAAAAAAACCTTAAAGCACCACTGGCAGATTTTCAGGAAAAGCCAGGTTTGGAGCTAGGTGGGTTAGACTAGCAACAGCTGAATAACAGTAAACTGCATAATCTCAAATGCCTGGAATGATGCCAGTTCTTCAACTCCACAAGGAGAACTAAATTTGGATGTCAACATGGGAGGCTCTGAGGGATCAGGTTGTCATCTTTGTCATCCTCTCAGGGTTCAAGGAAGGGCTAGAAACATCTCAGGTTCCTTATTGCCTTTATAATGTAAATTGCGGTATAGAAAAGCTGAACATACAGAGGAAAAATCCAAGTGCTGGTGACTCATTGACATCACACAGAAAGGAGTACACCAGCCGATTTTAAATTACAATGCCAACAGAGGGATTAATTATCTTCTTACCTACAAAGAAGCAGTTCCATCTATTCTGATGGAATTATACTTTTGTGGGTGAGAAGGCGGCCTGATTATTTATCATAATATATCATCGCTCCTCTTACCTCTGTCCCTTTTCCTTCTCAAATCTCTCCTCCCAGAGAACTCAATTAAACAGGTTTGTTTGTTATAATTGAGAATTTAAATGAACAGAAGTTAAAAAAGAGGAGAAAATCCCAGGTGACCCAATAAATCATCTGTATTGTACATACATATTTCTACTTAACTGCAAAGCTTAATTGAAAGCAGCATTAAGTATACACGTACAGGGGTATTCCCTCAGTCTAGGTAGCACAGCTCATTCAGAACAAAAATCAATTTCAACTAACCTTAAAATTTACCTTAATCTCTGTGAAATTTACTGGCTCTTCCAGGCCACTAGAAATATCTCACTCTCTAGGACCTCACAGAGGATAATTAGGCAGCCGATAGATGTGCACTGATGACTTCCAGCCTTGATTACTGAAATTCAATGACTGGCTTGATCCAGAGCTCCCTGAATCAATGGCAAAACTCCTAGTATACCGAATGGGCTTGAGATCCCTCCTTTGTCTAGGAATGAAGTCAAGCACTCTGAAAAAGTCCACACCTAGAATAAACTGCAGGTGTTCATCTACTTAGCAAAATGGATCACTGAACATTTCCACTGGTACCACGCCGAACACAGAGCCCAACTGGACCAAGGAGACTGAGAGGCCAGCTCCTCTCTGGGATTTTACCCTCCAAAGGCAAGGACAGGGAGGCAAACCAGGGGAAAAGGGGCAGGGAACAGGGCATCAGGGATCTCCCAGGGACTGGATGATCACTGACCACAGAGGCTTTGGTTTGAGCTCATCACAGGAAGGAAAAAATGCAGTGCTCATTTCTCGGACTTAGCTTTCCGTCTATAGTTTATTCACATGTGACATAGACATGGATGCACATAACAACCACACAGGTGACATCAAATCCAAACGCATTCACCAAACGCTCTCTCCTAAAAAATTTGGAGCTGCATATGGATGCAGGAGAAGTGGGGCCACATCAGAAAGCTAAAGAAATATACAGAGGCTCCATTAGCACGTGCAAGTCATGACTATGTCTCTGAGGGACAGTCCTAAATATTTTTCTCTTTTTTTTTCTGTTTTGCTTGGGTTTTGTTTGTTTGTTTTTAATTTTGAAAAAAAAACATACAAACACTTTGTAATTTAAAATGCCAATTGGGAAAAGATTGGAATTTCACAATTTCTGAGCCTCTACAAGTTACTTAAAATAGTCCTCTTTCTTTTACAGAGATGCATTTGGGGCTAGGGTCAGACCAGTGAAAATATATAAGCGGTGATACTCTCCCATGCTTAGCCCACAACCCAATCTCCACCCAACTGATACACCAAAATGAGACCCACTCACAGTAAGATTGTGCATATCTCCATAATATGATCTTTCCTCTTCTCTCTTGTGTGATCAGTAGTGAAATATTCAGCAGTTTTCACATTTAAATTATCATCAGGCTTCAGAGTCAACATCCCATTGAGATTACTGGGGCGGTTCATACTTCTCTCAGAGCTACTGTTTAAGGCTGTCTGCAGACTCAGGCAGACATCATTGAATGGGTTACTTCTGGCACGCGACCGAAATGTTATCTTCGCAACCATAAGACAATTTTTTTCAGTATAAATGCTTGCATTCTGGAGCACAAGATGGCAGCCACCAAGGAAAAAGGGTTGGCTTGCTGACCACAAAGTGGCCCAATCTGACCCCCGATTCTGGACTAGTGGCCTGGAAGAGCCAATGGATTTCATGGAAGCTAAAATGAATTTTAAGAAAGTTAGTTAAGATGTTTTTCTTGCTGAATGACCCCCACATCCAGGATAATGGGGACATTCAGCACATACGTCCATGTTAAACTCAGTTTTGAGCCAAGCTTTTCAATTTAGCATTGAGATGCAATTTTAAATGCTAAACTAATGACCATATAGCAAAGATCAAGGAGGCCAAATTATACCATTTGTGGAAAGTATACACTTGAATTTCTCAGCATTTTAAAATTGAAATAGAAATTTTTTAGTTGTATAAAATATCTGTGCATTTTTTTTGTTTTCCTTTGTTATTGATTTTCATGTTTTGCATCAGATAAATATGAAGTATGAAGTTCTGAAAGTTTGGATGAACAACAATCAAGTAAATTTTAGGTTTTTAAAATAATTTACCAGTTGAAACTATATGGTTTCCACTCCCGAGAAACCCAATTTAAAGACTAGAGATTCCTTTTTTTTTTTCCTTTTAATAATGGTCCGGTCCAGATCTTGAACAAAAAAAAAAAAAAAAAAAAAAGCTTGGGAATTAAAACAGGCAAGAAAAGATTAAACGTATTTTAACATCAGTGCCAATGCTGTCTAATTAGGTAGGGTAATTAATCCTTCCCTAATATACAGCATTAGATTAGCAGGAATAAACACAATGGAGAAACTGCAGAGAAAGCAAGACCACTGCACACAAATTAACAGCAATACCCCACAAGCTACACAGATGTGCCTAAGCTACACAGACAGAAAAGCTATATTTGACAGTGTGCCATTAAAGCTCATATTTGGGTTCAGCTTTGGGTGTTGCTGCCAGGTTTATTTTAATAAATTGTTTTGTCCCTGATTTTTTTTAGCATTTTGTAGATGTAAATACTTAATTATAAAGGTAAGAAATTTGGTATAAAGTTGCATAAGGCTCAGATGGCTGGTAAAAGGACAGGTAGGTTACCACAGGAAGGAAAGCATTACACATGCAGGTGTAGAAGCAAACTCATCTCAGATGTAAAATAACATATCTCCCTGTGGCCTCTGTCCAAGATTTTCTGAAACAAGTCTGTAGTAGATTTCAGAAATAAACCTGAAAAATCTAATGCAGCCTTACTTCCCTGGACTTCAGATGCAATAACGAGAACTGAAGTTCATGGAAGTCTCAAGAGGTCAGTATTTCTGAAAATGGGGACAAGACTGAGCCATTGAGCTTAGGGGATATATTTTTCAAGAAGTAACCAAGAAACCTGGTGAGAATTAGCTGTGACCAATGGGAATAATGAACCAAATATTGATGTATTAATAATGTACTATTCTACAAGTAACAGTTGTGTTTTACTCAGAATAGTTGCATATTTATACATCATCAACATACATTTATTTCCATTCAAAGAATTTATTTCTAGAAAGAATAGCTAAAAAGGTTTTGGGGAACATAATTTATCTTAAAAAATCAGGAAGCTAACGAAGTATCTCAAAATTTGATTCCCCACCCTCTCTAGTGCTATAAAGTCAAGGCAGCAATATTTAGGGTGCATGAAAATTCCCCAGGAGAAATGGAGGGTCTAATACCTCTTTTGATGGAACCCGGGAGCCTTTCCTTTTATTCCACCACGTTTCCAACATTGCAATGAAACAGGATAGGACAATCCCTGCAGCGAGGATGCAGAAAACACCTGCAAAACTTTTTATGTCCAGGGCACCTCCTTTCTGTTTGGTATCCACAGATGAGTAAAGATCACACTGACCGTTCTTCGGCCACCACTTATGCTTCAGTATGTCCATGTCGCCATTCTGCTGCAGCTCCAAAATCCTGGAGGAGAAAAGCACAGAAGTCAGTGGTTACAGCGGGGCAGTGGACAGCGATACCTGAGAGTGTGAGGATGGAATCTGACTACTTGCAACTTTTCCCATATGTCTTGGAAAGCCAAGAAGCTGATGAACCCAGACAGACTGATTTAGCCAGAAAAGAAAGCTTGAATATGGGGTTGCCTGTTAGACTGAGCACATAGATATCCATGTTCTACTCCAGATACAGGAAAGCACACGACTCTTGTTTTCTTTTAACAACCTTAATGAAAAGGCTTTACTTCATATACCGTATTTTCTTAATTGGCTTTCACTACAGACTATGTCAGTAGACTTTTGTAGTGCATTATTTATTTGACAATATCTTGCATTTTAATCACTGGAGAAGAGACATTTCAATTAAACCCCCCTCCCAAATCAGAAGGAAAATACAGTCCAGATGGATCACAAATTACACTTTATTGATCCTAATTGATCTAAATTGATCCTTAACAGGTTACCTACTTGCTGCTTTGGAGAGAGAGAGAGAACAAAGCCATCTTATTACAGCCAGTGGTGACCTAAACTAATCTTGCTTAACGTAAGAATGTGACCTGATGATAAGTGATTCCACAGGAAGGTTCCTTGCTGTGGAATTCACTTGTCCTTGGACCTACATATCCAGCCCATGAAGATTTACTGGGCAGCTTGCAAGGACAATGCATTTAACTAGACTTCCTGTGGGATGAGCAGTTTGAGAAATGAGAATTTTATTTGTAAGAAGATTTTCATATTTAGTTCATTTATTCCTGAGGAGAGTGTTTTTTTAAAAACATCCAGAAATGACTAGAGTAACAGCTGGGTGTCTCTGGTTATCCAAAATAAAAAATTCAATGATCAGATCTAAAAAGAATAAAACAGAGGGAATGTTTTCCTTCATATAATAAATTTGTTTTTCATTTCAGTGTTGGAAGACAAACAATTACTTGTGCAATCATTTGACACAGCATGCAAAGAAATCCAAGTGCACACAAACCAGCAGAGGTCTGGGATGTTGCTGCCAGAGACTGTACTGCATCAGAGGGGGAAGAAAAGCTGTCCTACTGTCTCAGGGCTACCCTAACAGCTCAGTGGAGTGGTTGGTCTACATCATCAACCTCGAAAGGGAGTTTGAATGCACCTTGGAAGCACAGAGCAACTGCTCTATACAGAATTTACTCAGTCTCCCATGCTGCTTGAATAGGTAGTCGTGTCAATGAAGACACCTAATTTTCTATGGCACACCCAAATGACCATATATTTATGCTGTGGTCCTACCAGGAATGGGAGACCTGACAAAGCCACCAGTGGCTGAAATCTCAGCACAGCTCTGGAGTGAGCTTCCACTTCCTACCTAGTAGTACAGCTGGTGGCTGAGATCCTCACCTGTTCAGAGGGGAACTGCTTGTTCACTTCTGTGCTGTACCAAAGGGAACAGTGCCTTCAAGGAACAGATCACAGGCAATACACACGTCCTTGGAGATGCCAGAATCACCTTGTTCGTATAGCTTTGTGTTTATAAGAAGTGGGACAAATTCTGTGCAGTGCCTGCTGACACTACATTGCTGAAGGTCCAGCCCTGGAGAGGGGCAAACAAGGTCACAGTTGCCTGGGCTATATTTTGAATTCTCCCAAACTCAGAGCCAACTTGGGGAAACCTCATCCTGAAGCTTCCTGAGGCAGCAGGGATGTGTCAAGGGTGGGAGAATTCTCCGTTCTGTTACAAGAGACAGAGTAGCTGTTATGAGACATCCATGTTTGGAGGAGCTTTGGAGGCATGTGGACCATACACAGGAGTGCTGTCATTGCTGCCTACAGCTGCCTATTGGGAGTGTGTAGAGAAGCTGAAGCTCACCCAGTGACAGGAACAGATGCAACTGGGATAAACTAGAAGATAAGAAATTCCAACTAGATAAGAGAAGAATGGGAGAGGTCAAACACTGGAACAGAGAATTTATGGCATCACCACCCTTGGCAGCATTCAAAGACCCACTGGGAAAGACCCAGAGCAAACAGACCTAACTGGACCTGCTCTGATCAGAGGGTTGGACTGGAGATCAGATTACTGCTCTGCAACTGCAAACACAGTCCATACGCTACCCTCTATCATGGCATACAATCCTTACAGAAAGAACTCACCATAATCCTGGTTCCTGCTGCCCTAGAACCCTGTAATAGGATTTAGGTGAGCATTTTGCCCAGATATGCCAGTCTGACAGGTTAGCAGGAGCAGATAGTAAGCACAAACAGAACCTTTTCGTATAAGTTCTTGTGGAATAACAGTAGATTAATTTTCAGTGCCTAATCCAAACATATGTGGTTTTATATTTAGGAATTACTGTACTATCTACACAAGGCACTAACAGAGGAACATCCATGGGGCTTATTTCTTCCAGCAGTGGCTGTAATCCCTGAGCAGGACTATTTTCTCTGTTTTATTCAGTCAGGAATAGAATGAACCATCCAAATGATTGCTCTATTCTCATTAATTAAATGATTCTTCACTTGTCAGTATAATTCTTGATTACACAAGACATCTTTTTAACAAAAGACATTTGCATAAAAACACTGAGCTTTGGCTTGTTCCTTAATGGAGATTTATTCCTAATTGTACTCCTGGTAATTATTGGCAATTTTCTTTATGGATGTAACATATAGTTCAATTATTTAAAGGAAAACATAAAAAAAGCAGCAGAAACCAGCTATAGTAATGGTATCATTACACAGAAAAGCTTGAGAAGTCAAAAGCTTATAATGAAGCCTTGTAAAACTGCAGCTTAAAGCAGATGTTGAGGGATAAAATATATATCAACAGAAATGATAAGAGCACGAATATCTAACTCTATTAATGTGATGCAGAGAACAAGGAAGATCATACTTCTCTTAGACTTCGCAAACACTTTGTTCTGGAATTCACCTGTCTGCAGAACTAAAATAATAGTTAACATACTAAGAAGATTTAACACTTCTGACCTGTTCCTAGTTATGAAACTTCCTATTTTAGTAGCTCATTTTCATAAACAAAAATTGTACTTTAATGAAAATGCCAGGAAAAACACAGGAGGATGGGAGGATAGCACACGAGTACTGCTATCCGTGCATGCTGCAAGAGCCTCCCACACGATGGCACTCTTTCCATAAAAATATGTGGTTTTGCCGCAGCTCCTGGTGGGTGCCCTGATACACTCTAATCAGATGTACCTGTTGGGTGGCAGACACTACAATCACTTTGATATTTGATTTTCAAATTTAATAAATGACTAAAGTAATAATGCATTAACTAAATGCTCTGAATGATAATGATGTTCTAATGCTATAATTCCAGCAAGTGCCTCTTTTTCCAAGTCCCAGATGTTTAAAACTGAACTTTTTCCTCGAGAGACTTGGCTCCTTTGAGCCTGCTGTATTGGTGCAGAGTAGTATTGCAACACATAAGCCAGTAGAAAGAGTGGTGGAAAGTATTAAGTAGGGGGCAGGAGTTCCTGCTGTTTTGAAATACCATTGTCTCAAAAGGCTTACAAAAGAAGCCTATATATTGAAATAATCTGATTTGTCCAAAAAATACCATGACCTCTAAAACTTGCTTATGGATAGAGTGCAGATCTTAATATATTTTTCTTTAGCAGGCTAATGTTAGAGTAACATTTTTCAAGGCAATGACGTAAATTTATCGAGCTGCACAAAAGAAAATATCTGCATGCAGTTTAATGGATTTGGCTCTGAATTCACAGTGCCAAGTGATGTCTAGAGGATAGAAACAGAGAAAACTAAACTGCCTGTGGTTTCTAAATCTAACAGGGATGTGAACAAATCCTACTGAATCAATGGGAATAGGGCTGGATTCCACTCAGTAACTACATACTTCACTGCTGGCAGTGAAATGGAATTACTCCTCCAAAATACCCACAGATAAAAAGCCCCCAACTTAATATGATAGCAAGGTGTCACAAATGCTACACAATTGAGACTTCTGTGACAACACTTTTTTCAATGTAATTTTATTCTGAGCTATCAGTAGTGAGCAAAAGATATGACAGGACACTTACAATGATATCAGAAATGCCAATGCATGTTCTGGGATGTCAGAGGTTACTAAATATCAGCTTCCTGCACCAGGAACACGTTATCCAGAGGGATAACTTCACCATTGTCACTGATGGGGAAGAGGAGATGGTGAGGTGGTATTCTGTCCCTAGTCAGAAGATCAGGGTGCAGCAGAGAGCAGATGTGCAGAGTTGTGTGAAGAATGCCCACTGTCGAAAGGGGGAGAAAAAGAAAAAAGAAAAAAGAAAAAAAAGAAAAAAAAAAAGAAAAAAAAAGAACAAAAGAAGTGGCTATACTGGTATACCTTAGTGGGCTGTGCCTTGGAGGTCTGAGCCAAGGTCCCAGGCCTTCTGCTTGCTCGCAGGGGGTTCCTGGGAAACTGTTGTGGATTGCATTTGGGAGCACTTGGTACTTGCAGATGGGGCCAGGTGGTTACAAGACCTCTAGTAGCTTCTGCAGTGGTTAGCCAAGAGTCAAATTCCTCAGGCAAAACCTCTTCACTGGAGTTTTTCTAACAAAAATCTGGTATAAAGTTTTTGCAGAATTTGGTTCTACTCTTCAAATAAGATATAAAACTAAGCTGATTTGTAAGTATCCTTCAGTTATCAAAGTAGACAGGTAGGAACCCAAAAGGAGAATTTGTGTTTTGTTTTTTTTTTTTTTTTTATTTCAGTGAAGCAACTGCCTAATCTTTCTTATTCACTGCAATAACTGGAGTGATGCCAACTCCTTTTGTATCTCCCATTGCATCTCCCAGAGCAAGCTTTAGGTTTTGGCAAAGCAGCTTTCACCAGTGCCACCTGGATGGCTGGCTTAGGGTTTTGGTGCCAGAGAGGAATGGCTGCTGCCCAGCCTGGCTTGCTGCCTCCTGACAGGGAAAGAGGCAGTCCCAGACATGGGGAAGGAAATGGGAAATAAGAATGGAGACAGGTAAGTAGTAGA